TTTTTCACTGGCAGGTTTCATGAATATTTTACCTATGAACATTCTTTTCAGAGTATTTTTAGATACCTCTTCCAGGGGTATCTGTTCATTTCTAATTTCAATTGATATTTCCCTTTTTTCCAGTTTTTCTTGTTTAAGTACTGCTGGAATTGCAGCACACAAACCAATCCACTTCAGTTTATCTACCATTGACAGATCACTATGATCAATTTCTTCCCATGTTCTAAATTTACCATTTAAGTACAAGTCTGACACATACCGTATTCCTAGTTCATCCAATTGCTTAAAAAATATTGATTTTCCACCTCTTGTTATTAACCTATTGTTCCACAGGATCTGATTCACATCACTGTGCATGTTTACACTGATTTCTTCCCATGTATTTAGACATTCAAGCATGTAATCTGTGAACTTCAATGGAAGCAGTTTAGTTGTAAAGTTACATTTCAATAAAATATTTCCCCCTAGTCTACTAAATTTATCTAGAACAAAAAGTTTCCATGGGTGGTTTGTTTCGTTACTCAAAACACGTTTAAGACATAGTATGCTTTGAATTTTCTTCTGTATGAATAGGTCAGTCATGCCTATCCCTCCCTGGCCCACCCCGCCGATCATGGTTCTCTTTGCCACACGATCAATTCCACCCCAAATAAAGTTATAAACAATTGTTTGAACATCTTTCAATACATTGGAATGAACACTAGTGTTAGACAAAATATAAGTGAACTGGGACAGTCCCAGCGTTTTGACAATTTGTATCTTCCCGAATAGTGAAAGCTGTCTAGATTTCCATAGGTTTAAAACGCTTTTCAATTTTTGTAATGGTTTGTCAATGTTTAGTTTGTTCACTTCAGTTTTATTATATGAGAAGTACACTCCTACTAATTTGATCGGCGAAGTGGGCCATTTAACCCCGAACATACATTCCCGTCTGTTTTTCCATTTTCCTAGCCAGATTGCTTCTGTTTTGTCTCTATTGATTTTCAAACCAGCACACGCCTGAAAATCATTAAGTAACTGCAACTGACATCCCATAGATTCGCAGTTTGTGATGCAACAAGTCATGTCATCAGCAAAAGAAAATTCCTTGACACTTTGACCTGCAATGTTTATACCCTCAATATTTTGGTCTTCCCTTATTGCAGCAAGCAAAGTTTCTAAAACGAGTATGAATAAAGCTGGTGACAGTGGATCACCCTGTTGCACCCCTCTTTCAACTTTAAAATATCCTGTACCATATCCATTATTAATTACACT